GAAATCTATGAATCTATGAATCTATGAGTTAAAAAGCTCTTACATGAACACAATAGATGAGATATTTTTCTGTGCTTTAAGAAATTGCTTATGTTACAGAGTAGCTTAACAGATGCCTAAATGCTTTGAAATTATTAAGAAGGCACAATATAAACTCAGTGCATTATTTGAGTTTTCTGGCTTGCCATCTTCCATCATCTGGAAGCCTAATACAGAAAGTTTAGTTACTGCACATCCATTTGCACGGATTGTGCCAATGCGCGACCACGGCCGTCACAAATCGCGTCTTTAGGAGTCACTATTAAAGTTTTGGTACGCTTGATCAACTTCAAGTGCGAATTGCTGTTGTGTACCCGTTAGAGCGAGGGCAATCTCTCATGGTGTGCTGGGATGCGTTGCTGTCCGACAGTGAGATGACAGAAAGGAATGCATGTGGCGTTCTCTCTTCATTTCCCATTCCTAAAGCTTTGGTTGCTAACGTGCATCCTGCTCAAAGCGGACAGCTAATAATTTTTGATCGTTAAATACTGTCCAAGAGTTTCAAAGGAATGTATGCATTTTTGTGACTTCATCTCCTATTTCTGGAGAATTAATCTACACATTTTGAAAACTACTTTAATCTGAGGATGTGATCCATTAACCTGAATGTGGGAGACACTTGGACATTTGCAAACATTGGATCGACTCAGTAAATCATTCAAACTTGGACATGAAATTATTGAACGGAGACCACACTTGCTTTGTATCAAACAATGAAACAGCTTTCACCGAAAAGAAAATCCCAAAATTTCTGTAAGTCAGTGGAAAAAATAATTTATTGCAATTTCTTTTGCACATTCACATGAAACATTTATACATATATATTCTGTGCTGAGAAGTTATACCAGATATAGACAATTTTTATACACAAAGTAATTTCACTATCCTACTTTATGATGCAAATATTCAGAAATTATCAGTCAGATAAGAATAGATATTATTCACATAAAAACACACTGTATGTTGAAGCTATGGAAGGTCTATGCATATGAAACCTTGTCCACTTTTACTAACTGTATCAGCTGATAAAAGACACTATGTCCCCTTACAGGCTTTACCTCCTTTAATTATGCCATGATGTCTAGAATATTATCAGGTCCTCCCTAAGGAATAAAATAAGATTATTTCTGAAAATTAGAGAGACCAAACCAAAAGGCAACCATGATAACCATGTCCTGGCGGCACGCATTTTAATTCTGGGGGCTCCATCAGAAAAGAATCAAAGCACTACAAGTGGCCTAAAATTGTCCAGCAATCTATTATTAACATGACAACTTAATTCAGTTAATATAAATCAATGAGAAATACATTGCAAGTGAACAGCATTTCAGCAGAAGTACATTGGCACATGGTTCAAATGGTAGTACCAGACAAACAACTGCCCTCTTTCAATATAGAAAATGTTTACACTGTGTCTACAGGAAAATGGAGGAAAAAGGGAAAATGCAGGATGATATCAAAAAAGGAATCTTTTTCTAACCAGAAATTTACAGTGCATTAATAGTTATTCACAAAATGAATGGGAAGCATGGCAATAGCAGAACTAAATCTGATAAATAACATTTGTACAATAATTTTCATAATGCTGCTTTAGGTATTATTTTTAAAAAGAGTTCTTTAGGTTCATTGTTCTGGCCAACAACTGAAATATCTATCTTTCCAGAAATGTCACTGATTCATGTAACCACTATACTTCAGAGATGAAGATGAAGAGGTGAAGCATTGGATTGAAGTGGTTAGTGGTAGTGTGCATGCTACAAAATTTTATTCAATATTATCTAATGGTAGGAAAGGCCACATGACTAACGTGCAAAAATGCATATTAAAAAAAGGAAAGCCTGAAATACATGCTCATAGCAGAGATATAACAATACTGAACATTAAGGAAAAAAAAATAGCAAGCGAGCCTGGAGAAAAAGGGTGAGTATGATTTCAGGAGTAGGGCAAAAGACAATGATACTGCACATGGCAATGGGAGATAGGATGTGAAATAACACCTGTAACTCAACCTTACTGCCTGGCACCCTATTTGGAGACAGCACTGCACCCTATCCAGCGTCCTCTTCCTCTTCCCTCAGCTCAGAAAGCATCTTGGTTTGTTTCCTTGAGTGCATGCAAGTAGAATTTGAGAAGTAAGGGATTTTCTTTGAAGGAACAACATGGTGAGTCAATACAGTGACAAAATAAATTTTACAACTTGCAACCAATATCAGGAAATAACAAAAAATAATAAAATACAGCGTAGATAACACACATTTCTTTCGTATGTGTTGTATGTAGGAATATAACAATTCCTACATTCCCTGATTCCTACATACCAGCTCTGACTGAGATAATTTAACTTGTTCCCATCAGCAATGTGGGGACAGAAATATATTTGAAAGTGGGGAATGATGGAAACTGCAGTCAGACATCTAAGGCTCTCTGCAAGCTTTATTTTTCACAACAAATCAGTTTCTCAAGAGAGAAGATGCAGCTGAACCTCTGTTAAAATAATAATGATAGTAATAATTAATCTTCTAACGTGCAAACAAGCAGATGCAAAATGAGTAATTGATCACAGTTGCTTTTATTCTATCTATGTTTCTGATTATAATTCTCATTTTTGCTGTAAAGGTATCATAGAAGAGCTATCTTAAGTGGAAAAAAGTAAAGGAGTAGTACTCCAAACCAACACTGATTCTTGCAAATCAGGTCTTTCTCAGAAGTAACTACTGCTCTTGGTGACTGATATTAGAGATGCCAACTTAGGAACCAAGTTTGAAGTATGCTGAGCTGCTCCACCATATAATTTTCTACAGGCCTAGCAGACAGACAGCATATTTGAAGTCTTGGTTTCACATCTCTATGCCAGCTGTAAGTATTTTGTCCTTTTTCCTCACCATATATTAAGTACTAGGATTCAGGGTAAAACATTATGCTGATAGATTTGCAAATGCTAAGCTAATCACTTTCTCTGGGATATAATGAAAATTATTCACTAATGTGAATCTATCATACACTTAAAGATATTGGAGGTAGAAAACTTCACAGTAAAAGAATAATCAGCAGAAATATCTTCAGGATTATTTAAGAAATATTTTCATGTTTACTTCTATAAACCACTTCTTGCAATATTGTGGAGTGACCTTTCAGGAAATTTACCACACAGTTTCTGAATATATGTTAACATGCCATATTTATTGTTACAAACAGTCTCCCTGAAATTAACAGCACTGCACATGATAATACATTAGCGTGTGTGTGCATTTGAAAGGTCAGAGAGAATAAGATTCTGAAAAGGAAACCTAGACTACACCCTTGCCTGAAGCAAAGTGATTACTCTGAGGTAATCAGACATAAAAAGTTGGTTATCCCATTTCTGCTTTTGGATTACAACTGTTAGGTTCAGCCTATAAAGTGCCAGAAATAACACGAAGAATACCTTCCTAAGACAAAGAGAAACCGCAAACAGTTCAGCAAATCTTAAAGGAGTAAAACTGAGTGCATCTTTTTGTGTACGGACAGATGAAATTGTGAAGGGAGTAAAAAAGAATTAACAGATTAGAGGATTATATTCTTTCACTTTGCAAAATCATCTCTGACAAAATGATTATCAGTTCCAATCACCCCAGGAATATATCTTTCTAGTCTCCTATTCTCCCAAACTTACTACAATTTAGAAGAGATACCTGTCATGATAGAAGTCCTTCTATCTATAAGAATTACATTTACATCTGCATTTCAGTATTAACAAAAAATAATAAAAAGCAGTGAGATTTTTTGGGTGTGCTTAAGCTGTGAGTCACAAGTGCTCCCGAAAATCAGGCTGACAGTATTTTTCTGTCAGGTTTATTCGTGCCCCCATGTTCCCTTCCACAAAGCTCGATTACTAGGTAATAGTATCAACAAGCACTTCTCTGGACTGCTGTGAGGATTAACAAAACCAACTCTTACACAAGGACTCTAAAAGGAAATTGCAATACTTAAAATTCTAAGCTATTTGAACTCTATATTCATATTAACACGTGTGAGGCTGAAACAAGGAAAATACCAACCTGACTCAGTACTCCTCTGAAATCATTTAAAATTACAATGTGCCCTGCTACAAATGATGACATAATGACATAATTTATACCACAGAAAAAAGTGAAAAGTGTTTAATTAAATTAAATACAATGATAGATTTGAAAGAATGGTAGCCATGTGAAATTATAGTTAATCTTGATATAGAATAAAAATAGAAAAGTATTATCAAAAGTGGCACTCAGAATATTATTGTAAGTAATATATAATAAAACACAGACTTCAGCAGAGTTGAAGTACAGGCTCTTCCCTGAAGTTTAATACTTGGGATTAATACTGGGAGTTACCATTAAAAAGTCAGTATCATACACTTGGCTACCAGTGGTAATAAATCTGGATTAGATCTCCTAAAGATCCCAGTTTAACATCCTAAATTTCGTTTTCAGAAGCACATGAGTATTCAGATGAGTAATTAATTTCCTGTGACTTACAAGAATTATTTCAGCCCAGGTAACCGATGACTTTCATTATTTTAGTCAAGCGTATTTTTAAGACTAAATACAATAGCTTAAACTCTCTATTTTTTTTTTATTACTTCAGAACAAATTCAAGCTATGTAAATTATTTTTACACGTTTTTCCTCCCTGTTGGCAATGGGTAGAATGCACACACCCACTCAGCTATGGCAAATCGGCTGGCGTACTGTAACCTGATTAAGTATCTAAGTTTGTAGCACACTTATGAGTCTAGATCTCATTGGCTTTTAATGAGATTTTGGTTAACACATGCCCAGACTTCTGAAACTGATGCATAAGCTTAAAGACCACCCAGTGCCTGAAGAGCTTTACCCTACATCATTTTGAGAAAAGGATTTAGGTTCATATGTCGTTTAGAAGAAATAGTTCACTCTGTATATTTCTAAAGCAAGACCTCTGCCACACAACAGTCTCTGAACAAGCAGGTCCATATGGAGTTAACAGACCACCATACACATCAGGTGTGAACCTGCCTGCAAGAAGTTGCTGGACTGTTGCCTAAATATTTGAAGGCACATTTATTCACTCATTGTAAGAAAGCAAATGGTGAATTTTGAAGTGCTGATAACCAGACTAAACAGAAATGGACATTATATTGCAAAATCTGATACAGTGGAGAAATCTGTAAGAAGAGGGAGTTATAAATATTTAAACAATTGGCACTCCCTCAAGGACTTTTCAAAATACAAAAGTATTCTTTCAGGGACTGCACAAACCGCAAAGACAAATAATCAAGGACTTCAACATGCTGTCAAGATAGTAAACACACTAATGAAACAGTGTTGTACAAAACTCTTCATTTTTTCTAGGGAATATTAAGTTTTGCAACTGCAAATGGATCTCAGTGGTTTATATTAAATTTGTCATGTTTATGCCTTGTTTCCAAAAAAAAAAAATTACACTCTGGTTAGTCATACCTCTGTCTCTGTACTCTTTCTGGACAAAAACCAAACCTGCATTGGTTCTTTTTTACCCTTCATAGAAACTGGACCCCTGTACTCCAGGTGGAACTGAGGATCTGAATTTTCTGGTGTCATAAGACACCTGAAATTGAAAGAGAAAACATGTAAATGTATGTACTATGCATGCACACCACACACTATATAAAATATTAAACATGCTACAGATATGTGAGCAAATTAACAAGAGTCAAATCTATCTCTGGATCATTATTATATTTGCATACCAATAACGGTATATCATAATGCAGTCTGCCATACAGTTTCATGAGAACTCATGTACTTAAATAATGTGTTGCAGGAGTCCTGTCACTTTCAAGTCCAAAGACACTTTGATGTTATGCTGACAAAGTGATTTCTTTTAAGATGTTAACACCAATAAAAATGCATCACTCACCTGTAAGTATATTCAGAGACATTGATCTTTCCCTTTTCTCCAGTAGTTTCTGTTCTGCTTGTTAGATTGACAGTATTTCCAAAGAGACAGTAACGTGGCATCCTTTGGCCTATGACACCTGTAACTACCTCACCAGTATGGATTCCTATTGTTATCTTTAGAGAGAAAAAAATATAGTTTGAGTATTCAAAATCAGTGTAACTAGTCTGATGCTTCTGACTAAATACAGGTATTATGCCATTTCTACCTACTAGAGTTTATTTTTATAGTGTGCCACTCCTCCTTCTTCGAAGCCTTGCATTTTGTGTTTTGAGTCACTTTTTTTTTTTATTGCAGTGCAGTGTGGTGGCTCTGCCTCCCACATGAAAGAACAAACTCTGTATTTTTCCAGCATGCACCACGCCATGCTGCTGTTATGTACTATGAAACTGAAAAAGCAGAAAGAGAGGCATACTCTGCAGGCCTGTGTTTAATGAGTGCTCAGAAGATGCAGCAATGGAAGGTGTAGGTCAAGAAAAAAAGACATTTCTCAGAGGAAACACCGTGGTGTTTTTGCATTTAAAAGTTCAGGAGATAGAACTGAGGTTTGGAGAAGCTTATTCTTATAGCACATTATCGTTATTGTAAAGCCCCAAATCAAACCTTCTCCCTTCTTTGCCCAGCGACAAAGTGAAGTACACAGATCTAAGCTAAGTGTTTTGTCCAACAACATTCATGTAAATAGAAATATGCATCACAGTCACTACTTATTTTGCTCTCACAGCCTTCTGATGAAGACAGGCCAATGTAGCCTCCCCAGTTCTGTATTAATGCAACTTCTTCATTAAATTCCATGAGTGAACTTCCGCTAATATACCTTCTTGCCAGTAATCATTGCCATAATTGCCTATGGAACTGTACTTTTCTTTTTAATACAACATTTTCTCATGCTGAAGTGAGGATCTGAAGCGTGATCAAAAATATCAGTGAGAGAATATTACTGTTTTCTTCATTGAGATGAAGAACACTCAACGAATTGTACTTGATGCACAATGAGAATTTGTTGATTAGATCGAAATGATCAGAAAACAGACATAAATGATGTGGACCTAATTTAGTTCTTTAAAAGGTTAAGCACAATAATTAGAATTTAAGGTCTGGGAAATGCACATCACATCTACATGTGACTCTTCATATCATTTGTAGATATCAGTCTCAAAATCTAACAATAGCAAAGCTTGCATGGACTGGGACTTGAGCATTATCATATTTCAAAGCATTATCATCATATCAAAGAATGGGCTTTTCATTCAAGCCCACACATATACTAACCTGCACAGGCTCACCATCTACTTGAACTTGGCCTGCTATTTCCATCATATCCAATGCCAGGTGGCAGATAGATCGTGCATGATGAATGCAAGGCTCTGGTAGACCACTCACTGTCATATACTTGTCCCCAACTGTTTCCACCTTTCAAGATATATACATATTTCAATTACTGTATTATCATGGGCTTTAGAGTACTAGAATGGACATAGTGCTTCCTTCAGGACTGCTTGTCCTTTGAAACAGTTTCCCTTCACTTTCATTCAAATCACTCTAATTCCTGTCATCTCTGCTTGTTATTGAAAATAATTTATTGTATGCCCACAACGTAACAAATTAAAATGACACTGTGATTTTGGAAACTTGAGCCTTTGTTTTAGGGCATTCTGAATTTCTGTAGAAACTGAGCACTAAGTTTGTTTTGACTCACATCCTTGCTTCACTTGGTACAGGACATAAAACTGATTTCTAGTGAAAGCTAGCAATGAATCTTATGCATATAAACACACAAGCATATACATGTACATATATACGGGATCTCTCTCTCTCCCCCCCCTCCCCTATCTACCTGCTACCAGCTGCATCTGCAACTACACCTCATTCCTAATGAAGGAATGGAATTCACTTTGAATAACTGAATAATAAGTTATAATTTACAGCTAGGAGACCCAGGTATACAACTGAAAAAAGTAAAGCACAGGGTCAGCAGAACCACAAACTGCTTGTATAAGTGTTCACATCTGCTGAATATGGAAGTAGATTTATATATCCACCTAATGGCTACTGTGCAGAAATCCTGCTGAGAACGAAGCCCTTTATGTTCCTGCACACATTTAGAGATGAACAACATACTCTTTAGTTATGTAATGTCAGGTAACACAGTTCAAAGACTGAGAACATAACTTTTTTTTTTAAAGTCTAAAATTCAAAGGATGGAAAAGAGTGACATGATAGCAAAGTATTGAAAAGTTGCAGATTAAATATTTTGAAAATCTTCTGCTTACCTTATAAACAAATGGATTCCTTCGTGAATCAGTCAGAATATCAAATCTTGTGTAAAGATCATTTAAAAGGTTAACAATCTTCATAGCTCCCTCTCCAGAGGCATGTTTACTACAGAAGGCATTGAATCCAACAATGCCACTGAAAAGAATGGTCACATTGTCATACCGCTTAGCTGGAACAGGACGCTTGTGTCTCAGCTCATTTGCCACTGATGGTGGTAGAACAGAGTACAGTAATCTAAACATGTAGGAAAAGAAAGGCACAAGCAAAACAGAAAGAATGTTGTGAAAGGTCTTTACATCAGCGCTCTTCAAATAGTAACTTAATACTTCCCATAGGGTTTATAAAATACTCATATGATCAAAGAGCAATATAAAAGATGTTTACTGAAGAATATGTTATTTGGGAAACAGGAACTGGTCTACATCAGCATACCTAAACCATGACATTTCAAACACACACTGATACATCTAAATTACCAACAAAATGAGGCATATATTAGTAATTCTTCTGATGTGATCTGTTAATAGTATCTTAGATTATTTTTGCTTATTGCTTATGCATTTCTGCCATACGCTCAGCTCATATAATCTAGTTTTGCTCGCAGAACCATAAAAACTGCAAAAAAGGCCATGAAGAGATCAGTTTTCCACCTTTGATCAATTCATGCATTGCTAAATGCTTCCTCTTCTGTTGAGAATGCTGCTTTTAGGGTTTATTCGTGTTTTTTTAATTAATAGTCTATATGACATAGTAACATTTGTTCATATTACAAACCATGCAAATAAAAACCAAATCACACACATAGAGCTTCACCCTACTCTCACGTGTATTCCTTCAACTTTCTAACTGCCATCTTACGGTGTATTTCCCTCCTTACACAGCTAAGTGGGCAAGTTGAAGATCTCTGACTGTTTCACAAATCTTGAGCATCATTTTGTACACAGCCTTCTGCACAAACCCTAATTGGTTGCGATTTTGGCAAGTTCACTACTGCCTGAGTTATAATTAGTGAATACTTTTGGCACATGATACAGTAATTGACACTATCTGTTCCAGCAGCTGCCAAGAAGGCTAGAATTCCTGAAGATAAAGTGACTTTACAAAGCAAGTCAACAGGAATGAATAGAAAAAATACATTTCAGGCTTCTTTTCTCACTGACTCTTGCATCCATCACTTTCAAGTCTTTTTACAATAATTTCCATTACTCTACTACAGAAAAAAAAAATCTGTCAATAGAATTCATAGCACAACAAATGTTAATTGTACTACTAAACAAGTATAGAATCACAGAATCATAGAATGGTTAGGGTTGGAAGGGACCTCAAAGATCATCTAGTTCCAACCCCCCTGTCATGGGCAGGGAAATCCTCCACTACATCAGGTTGCCCAAAGCCTCATCCAACCTGGCCTTGAACACTTCCAGGGATGGGGCATCCACAACTTCTCTGGGCAACCTGTTCCAGTGCCTCACCACCCTCTGAGTGAAAAATTTCTTTCTTATATCTAACCTAAATCTGCCCTCTTTCAGTTTAAATCCATTGCCCCTTGTCCTATCACTACATGCCCTTGTAAAAAGTCCCTCTCCAGCTTTCCTGTAGGCCCCCTTTAGGTACTGGAAAGCTGTATAATCCATGAGAAATTCTTTTATTACAGAGATGGGAACTGTATTATATAAACGAGAGCCAACCATCAACCCCACGCTGCTTGTCACACAAACTTCTGTTCTAATTTACCTGCCAGTAGTCCTTGAGCTGAGCTGCCATAGACTAATGCTATGAATTTGGCAGAATTGTAGAAAGGGATTTGAGGCCTAGTGCATATGCTTTATTATCGTTATGTACTTATATCTAGACATAGTATTATCTAGACAGCCCCAAGTCCCTTTCTACAGGTAACTATAAAATCAAACTCATAGCATTAGCTTATCGCAAAACTTCACCTTTACATAGACTATTTTTAAGGCTTATAAGATGTGTTTTTCTGTTCTATTAACCTGTAAGCATGGTAATCCAGGAAGACAAAGTGGTCTACAGCTGGTTGACAGAACTCTGTCAAATAGAAGCATTTGGGCATTCATCAAATTCATCTTGGCTACAGGGACTGCATGTAAGAAAGTTTGCATAACTACTGTTTTAGGTAATTCACCAAGCAAAAAAGGATTGTCAGTTAACTTCTCATAGCTCTCCTTATCAGGGAAGGAGCCATCAAAACACCTGTGCATCTAATAGCCTAGACTGCAGATGACATTTGACAATCTAAACAAAGACACAATCTAAACAAAGAAATACTCTAGAAGGCGTTAAAGTAAAATGTTCTTTCTTGACTCCAAAATGATTTGCTTTGAATATCTCTCATATTTCTTCCAAGATTCTTATTTTTTGAAGTAGCTATAAATAATATATTGCTGTGACTGTTTCAGCTCAAAATCAGCATTTGGTTCTTACGTGTCTGTCTTCTTCTTTTCATCTTCCAGTGCACGCAGTGTGTGCTGCAGTCTGTCAGTGAGGATTTCGAGCTCTTGAGTCAATTTATATTCTTCTCTGAACTGCTCTCCCAGAAGAACTAGATCACGGGTAGCATCATGCAAGGGAATATCACTCAGATATAAACCTCTTCTGGTTAAATCATCCAAGTTCATCACACTGCAATATGGAGAAATATATAATAATGGGGTACAATTAAACTTGTCAAAGGAGCATTTAAAACTCAAATGAACAGCAGAGGCTGCTGAATAACAAAGATTATGCTTCTGAACTTGTGATGTACAACACATCCCTTCTACGAAATATCTTATTTGTGTTCATTCATGTTAACACATGGCTCTTGATTTTTGCATTTAAATACAGAATTCTCATTGATGTATTCCATGAACACATCAAATGTACATACTTCAGCACACAAATAAAAGTGAGATCCTGTTAAGGTAGCCTCTTCCCTTTCTGTCTTCCTTCACTCTCTCCCTTTTACACAAGAAATTAAAGTATCAGAACTGTGTAATCTGATGTATTAGCTCAACATGCTCTTAGCCGAAGAAGCCCTCCATTCAATCCCCCATTCCAATCACTTCTTTATAATCATCACTGCTCTATTACATTAAAACTACTGCAAAAATATATGAATTCACATAGCAAATCAAATCATTGTGACATTTCTTAGCACTCTCAGAGTAAGAAACAAAGGAAAAAACTTAACAAAAATCCTGGAATCATGTGGAACTCTTATTTGTACAAACTGGGCCAGAGCACCCCAATGTTTCTATTGAATTATTTAATAATCAGTCAAGTTCCAATGTTTAAATGCTCCTCCCTCTTTTAGTATAAACGCATCAAAATAAATAAAATCAATACTGAACCAATTAATCTCTGTAGTACTACTCTCATAAATGTTCTTAAAATTGATAATTGTAAAACAAAAATCAGTATTATAGAACTCTTAAGGTTTAAAGTACCTTGGCGAACAAAGAAAGAGAATGCTGTCTGCTTCAGGCAAATAGATCATTTGCCCTTTCAGGCGTAAGCAGCTGATTTCTGTGCCGGTCAATTCATCTTCACACTCCAGCTTTTCCACATCCAACAGTCCCTCCTGGTGATGAAAAGTCACAATTATATAAGGGCAACAGTACGTGTGTCATGCACCAGGCCACGTATGGAACCGCCTTCACTATGAAGGCAGTCAGAATGTTTGGAATAGAGTTGCAGCCTACTTTAAAACCCAATTAATTTCTCATTTAAACACCATACACTACCTGTATTTTAACACTATGATTTGCTACCTCAAATATATAAAGCATATTATCTTTCTTTATGTTTGTGTTCATAACTTGTTTTCTTCAGCATCATTTCTTAACAACAGTTTGACGATAGTATTGGCTATTCTATGAAGTTCTATCTGTGCCTAGGAGCATCTTTTAAGAAATCTTGGTTCCTCTCAGGTACAGGTTTCTATAAAACAATAGGCTCCTTGACATAATAGGTGCTGCTCTACATGCTGTATTCATTCCTGTCACCCACCTCCTCTCCTGCTCTCTCTAGAGAAAAGGACACAGAACTGTGTATGAACGTATGGCCCCAAGCAAGAACGCATTTCATATTGGTCTCCCATATTGTTATGAAGCAAAAGTAAATGTAATTGCCTTTCTAGAGTTACTTTGGTACAATGCCATGTAATGGGTTAGCCCATTGCAAAGAAAGCATCAGAAATGAAGTATATCTACTTCACCATTCCTGTAAAGCATTCTACTTAACAGCTACACATGAATTCACATCTGTCACTCATTCTTGCCTCAAGACTCAAAAGGGAGGGAGTGTACTACTCTGCAAAGAATTTTCTCTGAAGATTTCTGAGCTTTCAGCACTTCTTATCTCTCTAAAGTATACTACTTAAAGAAAAACCAGCTGAATATTCTCTAGTTACCTTGGTCCTCAGTACAAAGACAGTATTGATATGTGAGAGGATCCCATGGAAACTAATATCAATATGAGGCCGGACCAAGGAGAAAACTGACAACAGACTGCAATTTCCTGGTTGCAGCTAGAATAAAAACAAAAAAAAAGGGGAAAAAAAAAAGATTGGAATGTTTTATAATAAAAATATACATGGAGTAATTATATTCAATTTGCTCAGATGACAATACTGAATGGAAGAGAACATATATTTTATGCATTTCTCCATTAAAACACAAGGTTTTTAAATTAAGGATTTTACATCAGAAGTATATTGACTTCAAAGCGCAAATCTAGTCTGCAAGATGACTTAGTAAAATTGTATTAGACTATCACACTAATAGTGTATAATAACACTGTCAAGCTGTTCCCACTCTACAGCAAAAAAAGTTTTCCAGTGTTTTCCTCCTAAGTAAACTCATTCAAACACCCTTTTCAATAAGCTATGTTCTCTAAAGCATCAACTCTGATAATAAGGATTCTGATAGCCATCCTCAGCAGGCTGAGCAGTTAGTTATAGCTGTTCAGTGAACGCCCTTGGGAAAAATCTGGTAGAGCTACTTACAAAGCTCTTCTTTCAAATCCTTCTGCAAAATTCAGAGAGAAATCACCACAAACAAATTGCAGGAAAAAGTGAAAAACATAAAATTGCCTTTTAAAAGTATGTCAATGATTGAGAAACAACTATGTGCAACATTAGCATACATAATTGTAAAGATCATTTGATGTTTTCATCATCTTACCTTTTGCTTCTCTGCTTTTGCCTGTTGCTTATTTTTAGAAACACTGTCAGCTCTTTCAGGCAAGAACTGAGGTATCCTATTCACATACAGAATACGTAACATTAAATGGACCTCTGAGTACTCTTTTACTGTAAACAACTAGAGGAAATTGCACCAGCTGCATTCAGTTCAGAACATACATATATCTCACAAACTAATGCTGATGTTTTTGATGCCCAAGCCAAGAAAGTATACTACAACTTTTGTTATTCTGCTCTTCAGTTATCGTGCATCTGACAGCTTAAGTATTTGAATGTACAACTGTCAAGTAATATGTATAGACTATGTACCTGCTGCTACACTATATAAAAGCATGGTAAGACTGTTTCCTGAACCCCAGGCCATGTTGCACCGACTGTCTCACATCCACTTTAAAGAGTTAACTGTCACTTTCACAGCAAATGTATCTTGGAGTGAGCTATGAGAAAAATAGCGAGCTAAAACGTGTATTGTGCGGGTGATCAGGTTTTCTCTGCTCACGCTTATTCTCTTACGGCACGTTGACATGATCATAAGGAACAGAGATGTTGTAGAATTAGGGCTGTTTTCACAGTCCTCTTTCAAACAAGAGGAGCACAATGTAGCAAAGATCATACAGTTACACAGGAATGCTGTTGAGGCAGAGAATCCTAAATCTATCGTATTCATCTTTAAAATTAACCTACGAAGCATCTAGCATTAGAAATCTCTATGATTATTCATGCATGAAATTATCTAACCTGTGGAAGGACTCTGTATATAGCATTGCCACACTGCGTGACCACCAGATCTCTGTCAAATATTATATGGAAAGGAAAGGCCTTGCAAAAAGTATAGGGACTGATGCGAGACTCTTGGGTACCATTTTCTTCAAATCTGTCAAGGTCTTCATAGTAGTCCTCTTCTTTAGACTCCTTCTCTTCTATTAAAAACTGAATGTGGTCACATTCCTCATTTCTCTGTTGAATAACCTAGAAAAATGAATGAAAAAAAGAAAAATTGAAAACTCTGGTACTCATTAAAAACTGGAATGCTACCATGAAAGCAGGAATACATTTAAAGCAGAAAGATGAATTCAAGAATGATATTTGCATCTTGAAAAATATTATATTCTAATAAGTATTTCTCATTCTAGAGAGTCTTTATAATTCCAGGTGAATAACTATGCCTTTGCTTAGCCACAGCTGCTCTCTGCATGAACGACGTATTGAAGATCGCTCAAACACAATGTCTAAAGCCTTAGTGAAATGCATACCCTGAAATCAGGGGTCAGGGCTCAGGTTAATGCTTGCTTTTACCAGTACATGCCAGAAAACAGGACTCTCCCCTCTCTTTGAATGAACATGTGGCAAGTCTTGAATTACACAGACCACTTGAATCCTTTTGATGAAAGCTGTTTGCAAGGTCTGTAACACAACAGCAAACAGTGCTGATCAGAGGATCAGCATGTCACAGACAGAAAAAAGGTGGATGGAGCAGGTGTTTGATTATACAGTCCTTACACATTCAAGCAGTGACAACTGCAAGATCAGGAGCAACAGATAAAACTAAAAGCAATGACGATCTTCTCCAAGCCGCATTCTATATTAAATAAAATCGCAAAACCAGAATCATCTACATCGGCTGAATCTCAAATAAGTATCTTGAATACAGCATTTCATACTTCAGTAATTTTACTCAAAGTTAGTAAAAAATATGACATTAATAGGGATTATTTTGTTTGCAGTGAGTCATATATTGAAGCATAATTAAAGCTAATAACTAATAGAATAACATGATTTACCTCGAGAGGCCAAATTCACCTCTTCTCAAGCCTGATTAGATTTAATGACTGGAACAGAACAATTCTATTTACATAGTATTGTTTAGCAGCAACTTTCTGGAACATGTTGCACCTGATTCTACTTTCATGTAGAGTCTGATCCTAAAGCCACTGAAGCTAAAAAAGACTTCTTAAAATCTCTAATGCATCCTCATTCTGCCCTTTACACATAGTCTAACCACAGAGATTAGCAGTTACAATATGAAAACAGAATGGATATACACAAACACTGCACTTGATCCCTAAGATTTTACTAAGTATTTCTCCTCTGCAACTGTTAGCCATGCTAGCTGATCAGTTGGGGAGTGCTGATTCATTTATTGGTTCCTATACAAATGGAGGAGTGCAAAACAACAGAACACTATTTTATTGCTAAATGAGGCTGAATTTAAGAGGGTAGTGTTCCTTGATCTCCTATTTGACTATTCATTTAAAGAAAAGAGAGGTTTTTCTGGAGGACAGTTCAGAGCAGGAGCCTGATTTAGGTGCTTTATATCATGTGCTGCATTAGTCTTTTTCTTTTGCATAAGTAAGCAACTCAGAGAAACATCAGCCTACTAAAAATATCAGGTAATGTAGGTACCTAAAGTTGGATGTATGAACAAGTTCAAAATTAATGACGATAAAACCTAATTTCCTCAATAAACTGTGTTGGTAATCCTTACGGCAGCATATGACAAAGAGAAGGGAAATTATAAGTTAATAAGAGGTAAACCTCAGAAAGAACATGTGGTGGTCATTTGAGGAAAACAAGTTATGTGGGTTTGTCTAGGAAAATGGAACATAGTAGCTGGAGATCTACTTTTCCTCTGAATTCAGGGTTTAAAGGTTTTCCATGTCGTTGTCGTCGTCTTTAAATCTTTATCCCTGAAATTGTGTGTACTGTGACTGTGGCCATACTGAGGATTGATAGAGCACAGCTGCAGTCTTAGTTCTTACTTTCTATTGCTCATACACACTCCCACAGGTTCTATTTTATGATTACTATTACTGTGTCCAGGGATAGCTGAGATTATACACAGTAACCTTTTTCAAATCATGTAGAATTATTGCTAGAATTGGTCTATGCTTCCAGATCATTTTGTCTTGGATCCTACTTCAAAGAGTGGCTCTTGCCATAACTGGAAATAAAAAATGCATATTTTGGATGAAAAGCTTCTTAATTTGGCAAAGCAGTCCTAAAATTAATTTTTAAAGATGTAATAATTTTTAAGGAAATGTTCATATTAACATCACCTTCCAGAGATATTATCACCTAACGACCACCTTAGTCACTGCATACTAGTATTCTGTTACCAACCTGAACTTGTACTTATAGGTTTTTTCCTGCTACTATGCAGCACCTAAAGGATTTTTCATAACTTCTCATTTTTTTCCATTTATTAGAAATGAATGACACACCAATAAACAAACCTCAAATGTCAGTTAAAGAAAAACACCTATAAAAATAGAACTGCTACATGCTTGAAGCTAAGTTTGAGGCATGATCTTCCACAGAACTTACAAGCTTACACAGCAAGGAAGTCAGTCAGCACACACTATGTGCTGTTTTCCTTTCCTTTAGAGATCAGAACTGTGTCAGTAACACTGCAAAGCTGCAAATTTCCCAGGCATCTTTAAGTTCATTTGCAATACTATTTTTGTCCAGACTCCAGGGTATCTAGAAATGCTTGCTATACTGGTGTATCACATTAGTGCAGCAAATGAAACACAGGACAAACACATGGAAATGTGTCAGATCTACAAGGCAGCCACAGCGCCAGCTGCATGCTCCTGGTAAACCTGATATGCTATGGACATGTCCGGTTTACTGAATTTGATTCTGGTCATCCATACACAGACCCTTATTAATGGCAGCTACAATCATATCCCTCTCCAGGCTAAAAAAGCTACTCATTCGTCCTTAAATAACTTCCCATTGGATATGTAATTTCACGATGTCTTTTCTGCTCACATCATTTATGCACTGCCTAATCTTCCTATCTCATTATTTCATCCACCTTGCCAGCAAATTTAAAATGAGCACTTCTGTCCATTGATATAATATGTTAAATTCTGTCCCTTCATAGGGACAGATGTACATACCCCTTGTAGGTACAGATCCCACCTAACTGGCCAGATACTTATCTGGTATAAAGACCTGCCCTAGGTACTCTGCAGTAAGCTTAACTAGAATAGAACTTATCTATTGTTTCATTCTGCAAGTGAAGTTTGCAAGCCACGGAATTTCGGTATCATTTAAATATTGTTGAAGAAACCTCTGTTAAATGCTTGACAAATTTAAGTTCAGTGACAGAAGCAACAAATCCAGGAGTCAAGTCTAATTCTTCCTCCCCCTGCAGTTTTAGCTGGTGAAGTGACATCAGTTCAACACATCTAAAAGCTCAATCACCATAGTAACTGCTGCTAAAAACTGAAGGGAAAAATCACTCTCCTGGTTTCAAAGAGAATATATAACATCTAACTGCTAACCTGCCTGTGCTTTCCAGAAGATGTTATCTTCAGTTTGTTCTTGCTTAGCCAAGTGAAAAGTCACAGCAATATTTCAGGGAAGCACAATTCAGAGAACAGTTACTCTAAAATGACTTTGTGGTTTAATATATTTGGTGAGCTTCACACAAGATATTAAATCAAGCAGTATCACTGTGATATAGCATGTGTAACGAACATATGCTGTCTGTTAAACCTTCACTGATGTATTTACAAGACAAGACTCAATTCTATAGATATGAGCATGTCCCCAAGTTACACATGTATCTCAGCACGGAGGAGGGACAGAATGTCCTTGGACAAGGATCTTTTTCCATCAGATTGTGAAGATTAATACCTGACTTTTCAGGTTTTTCCCATTTAAAGGTCAATACAGGATGAAATTCCTGATCTCTTCTGATACAAACTGACTGTGCAATGCTACTTGACAAATTTCATTGCAGCTGTTTTTTGATGATCCTGAGGCAAAACCGTTCACTGTGGAAATGGTACCACTTTTACCTTGACACACTCCAAGCTAAAACTGCGGGGATCTCTCCATCTGGCAGCTAGTTTCAAGGCAGAGAGTCTCACTGCATCAAACCTCTGAGCCTGGACCTAGTGAAGCTTCCACCCATTCTTGTGTCAGAATTAGAGGCTGATTATGCTCCAGGATTGACTTATCTTCATATACAGCTAGATTTTAATGTACGGATCAGTACTGCTCGTCCTCCATAACAAGTCCCTAAGTAGTTTTTAGGTCAGCTCTCCAGTGGGTCATAGTCTGGCTTTGGGTTTTTTATATTACCATTAGTTATGAGACAGTCAGAAATTACCATCTTGTCAAGGATTTCCCCCGGCTTTTTCTCATTTGATATTGTACACCCTCGTCTAGAAGAAAGATTTGATAGTCTGGTCTCAGATAATAACAGAACTGCAGCAGTCTGTTTTCCAAACAAATTTTTGGGCTTTGTAGGACTGTACAACAGTCTTTGTTGGCCTGTACCATTTGTAGCCTTGAGGAAATGTCTGTCCTGACTTAACCTTCACAGGTCAGTCTCATCTATACACACACAATCTCTGACAAGTGAAGCACAAGAAGGCACAGCCAGAAGGCTGCTAACAGAGATTTCATGTCAAAGTTGGTCACCAGCACCATGAAGAGTTTTAGTTCTTATGCTGAGATTGGCAGAACTTAAATATTCTTGGCACATTCTCAAAGTCAGCAACAATTCTTGGGACAATATCTGCGACAAAAATTATATAGTCTTAGCTCTATTTAGCTAAAAACGGATTACTATATCAGGGAAGATAAGGCAATTTGGATTTGAACTTATTAATCAATTAATGTCAACCTAGGCTTTCCTCAACTATTCAACTGGAATTGCGAATCCAAGTTCACAACAAATTGCGTTCCTTTCAGTGCTAACAAAGTTTAACAGAAACAATCTGAGACCTTTTTTTTTAACTTGCCTTCAGCACACACATACTCTAGGTGTTAACAGAAAAGACACATTTCCTGAAGGACACCATTGTGGAAAAAGAAAGCCCTACTGTAGCTCAGAAGAAAACACACACACACACATCTCTCTATATATATCTATAGAATCATAGAATGGTTAGGGCTGGAAGGGACCTTCAAAGGTCATCTAGTCCAACCCCCCTGCAAGGAACAGGGATATCTCCAACTAGATCAGGTTGCTCAGGGCCTCATCCAACCGGGCCTTGAACGTCTCCAGGGATGGAGCATCCACCACCTCTCTGGGCAACCTGTTCCAGTGTTCTACATCTATGTGTATGTATATAAAATAATTCTGCATGAAACTACAGAAACATGATAAAACTAAACATTTTTTTTTCTATTTAGCTATTTCTTCACCCAGAGAAACAATTTAGGACAAAACAAGTACAATGTTTTTTTCTCAATACTTATTTTTCCTCTTGCAATCATGAGATTCCTTAGGTTTTCTCTGCAAGTTGAGGAAGTTGATCCTTTCCCTCCACTCAGCACTGAAGAGGCCACACCTGGAGTGTTGTGTCCACTTGTGGGCTCCTCAGTACAAGAGAGACATGGTCTTACTGGAGACAGCCCAGAGTAGGGCCACTAAGATGATTAAGGCACTGGAGCGTCTCTCATAAGAGGAAAGGCTGAGGTAGCTGGCACTGTTCAGTCTGGAGAAGAGAAGGCTCAGAAGGATCTTATCCACGTGTACAAATACCTGTAGGGAAGGTGCCCAGAGGATGGAGACAGGCTCTTTTCAGTAGTGTCCGGTGTCAGGACAAGAGGCAATGAGTACAAACTGAAACACAAGAGGTTCTGTCTGAACATCAGGAAACTTTTCTACTGTGAGGGGGACTGAGCATTGGCACCAATCGTCCAAAGAGTTTGCAGAGTCTCCATCCCTAGAGACAGTTGAAAGCTGTCTGAATATGGTCCGGGGGAACTGCTTTAGGTGGCCCTGCTTGAGCAGGAGGGGTTGCACAAAATGACCTCCAGAGGTCTCTTCCAACCTCTGCCATTCTGTGATTCTGTGTAGCCCATGAAACGAAATCTAACCACTTAATGAAATAAAAACAGTATTGCTGTAAACAACTAAGACCTGCTACCACCTTCACAGAAACTGGTAATATGTAAGACAAATTCAAGCAAAATTTCATGAAAATACAGACTTAGAAGCATGCGTTCTCTCAAGCAGATTTATGTAAGCATTTGTTCTAAACAGCTGGAGAAGAAAGGTGGATAATAAAGTATTAAACTTCAAATTGCAGATATCAACTTTACACTAATATAAAGAGAATTGCCAAACTTACTAAACCAGTCCTGTAATGGATTGTTTTGTAAATGCTTTGGATAAAGAGATTTGGAAGGACAACTCCTGAATCTCAGCTCTGTTCTTGCAAGTCAGAAGTCAACTCCCATAATAATATCAGAAACTTAGGGCTGGGCACTGAGGCTCTTATCAGTTCCAAAAAAAAAATCTTCCTTAAGCAAAATTATAACTAAAGTTCAAACCAAAAATTTTACAGATAAGGCATTGATCGGTACACAAAAACTGAGGGGATGAAAATCAACTCCACTGTTTTTCTGTGCTGTGCTATTTCAAACAATTTGTTACTAACAGTCTGAGACACGAAAGCATTAATTTACTAAATTATGAGGCAAGGGATCGAAATGAAAGAAGATGGTCAATTTTTTTCTCCTGTTCTCATTTTCTTGAACAGTGTAAAACTAGGTAGGTACCAAAATGGCAGACTTACTGTGCTTTAAAACCCTCAGTCTGTACCATTAATGATTATGGTGACCTGTGGAGTAATGGAGGGACACTTTCATTGTCTGTGTGGAAAAGCTGCAAATTTTGGCACTCTCACCTTAAAGAAACAAGTAGCTGCTTATTCTCTGCTTATCTACCACTTAAGTTTATGAGTACCTGTGGAGTAAAGCACTATTTAATGTCATTAAAGATGTCAAAAGCTAGGCTTTATTAAAGAGCAGAGACAAGAGAAAGTTCAAGGTTGAGGGCACATGATTTTCTACTAAGGACAAGGGAAAAAACAGGGTAACAGACAAAATAAAATACAGACAATATACATATTCTTCAGTTTAGAGGTAATACTAATTTTTAGGCACCTATGTGCTTTTGGCTCAGATGGTCTGGAAGAATAGTTTGGATTTACATAGGTTACATAGGTTTAACCAATACTATTAAATTTCTATTTAATAGAAACATCAAAATTTCCAGAACAACACTAAAATTAAACAACATTAAAATTTCCAGAAAAGCCTAATAAACTCAAATGAAAATGAGAGGTACATTTAGAATCAATATTTAAACAGCTTTGGAACATATATTATTTGTGAGAAGTCCTAGATGGATACCAGTACTGTCCAGTACAATCTTCTCAATAGAGTAACATTCAGGCTGAGGACAGTTTGTCAAAAGTTTGTTCTGGCAGCTGATTTGCACAGCCCAGATTTCTCCTCTGCCTCACTAATCACTTTTGTCTCTGCATGACCTCTTGACTATGCTGGCAGAACTCTCTCTGATAGACAGAATACCACATAAAGGAACAGATGTGGGTATAAATAACCCAGAAAAAACCCATGTTATTTTGAACCCAGTTCATTTCCTCACTCTGGTTTATTTTATAGCTTCGCAACAGCTGGAGAGATACAGCTGAAGAAGCTGTCATAGGACAAGTTTGAGCAGGAAGAGAAGTGGGACTGCGTAAGCTGCCTGTGCTACTAGAAGAAAGGCTTGTCAAGCAACAGCTTCAGCATTCTTGCAGCCAACTTTCCAACATGGTCCTCCTTGTCTGTCTCAACAATGAATAAACAGGGAACTAAGAAGAGGATTGTTTTGATTCTGTTGCATCCTTCCATATCTGATTACTAACACCTGCTGAAAAGTTTAATCTATGGATTCCTACAAAGTAGAAACTAAACAAGGACATCAAGTATATCAAGATACAGAACTAGTGATTCACTATAAACCTGAGCTAGCTTATAACAAGGAACCTAAAAGGCAAATACTCTTGATATAGCAGTACAATACCTTTGTCATTGGGTTCCTTGTAAATCTCTCATCTGAGCAAGATACACTCATGAAACTGGAATTGATTTTCTGAGCAAGTATACAATGAAATTGTGCTAGAACTGTAGTATGACTAAGGAATAGTTAAAAAAGAAAAAAAATGCTTCCCAGACCTGCTTAGAATCTGTTCTACTTAATGAAAAGTACTTTATATCAGTTGCAATATTTCTAACACCAAAAAGCTTTTATTTGCTGTTTTTCCCCAGATATATCTGCACCTTGGATCAAGCTCTGATTTTATACCATTACATATGGAAGGACAAATCAGTTAAATCTTTCTATTGCTCTGCATGGACACAAAGCAGAAGCTTCTTTTCCATTTCACAAGTGACTTGGCACACATGACGTTCCGTAAATTCTGTGACTGAAGAACACTATTCCATTTCTGGCGCCATAGGTGTATATCCAGCCACATTTCCACACAATGATAGCATCAGACCCACAAACTCATCCTGGTTCTGGGAAGGACCTGGCATGCAGGCTGGGAGGAAAACACACTGCTCACCAAACAGGCCTCATCAACACACATCAGCCTCACAGTTTGCACATGGATGAAGAATCAAGGACACAGAGACAAAATGTCTGTGTTCTCACAGAACACAGTAGACAGTAAGAAATATATGCCAAATATAAAATAAAGTGGAAAAAAGCACCCCAAATAACCCAGTGCCTAATTTCTGTACATGTCATCTCCCTCTTTGAATAAGGGCATATTGTTCTGAACTGCACCTGATTGGGTCTGTTTGCAAATTAATGCTGGCCTTCTCAGCACATGGCTGACCTGTTCTTAAAGAAACACAAATTATGATGGCTTTTCCTGAGTCAGTACTAATGCCAGTGCTTCACAGAGGACAGCAACAATGAAAATGATTGTTTGCCATCACTTCACTTTTGATTTTCTTGATTTTGTCCTACTTCCAACTAAACTTCCTACTAAACTTCCAACTTACCTGTCGACCTTCAGACATTACCTTCATATCTATTTCTGTACCGTGGATCTGTTGAGCTACTGTTTTGATTATTCCAATGACAATATCCTGGAGACCTTCTCTTTCTGAATAGTAATGCAGAATGAGTCCCTTCCCCTTCTCTGCATCAGTGCATCTGAAAGAAGGGGCTCGCATACCCGGGTAAATTGTAGCAAGGTGGTCATGCAAAGCGTCCAGATTCTGGAAGAAGATATTAAAAACATGATTATAAGGCATTCACTCACTAGTTCTGAAGAAAGTAAATATATATTCTGTCTAATCTGAACATTCCTTTTCTCCTACTGCTCATGCTCTCTGTGCATTTCCCTTATTATTTGTAGAACTGTCATCATAGTAGGCTTTTCAGGTTCTTTCCATCTACTGTAGCAATATTTGGAGAATGAATGGCATAAAAATTAGCACTATGAAAAATTACTCCAGATAGTAAGAATTCATGCTTGACTATGTTGTATTTTGAAACACTCTGATGACTAAAGACCTTGTGTGTGTTTCTCAATCCTGTACCTCATCCACCTTCATCCCTTTCAAATTCTAGTCCCAATAATCTCCTCTTCAGATGTGAATTTAGGTGTCAGATACAAACAAACATGTCTGAATAAGCATTAATCTTTTTCCTTATTCTCAATGACAAAGGCTAGTTCTGACATCATAACAGTCAAGCCAAGTTTACAGGGCCTGACAAAATCTCAAATTTTAAGGTAAAGATTTAAACGATTAAAAGACCAACCTCAAATACATATTTTCTTTGAGAATAATTTAAAAAATCCACAGAATACATAGAACATATCACAGCTGCTGTTATAATGTTTTAGAAAAGGTTATTCAAGGAAGGGAAGAGGTCTTCTATTTTTCCAGCTGATGTCCTGGACATCTTACGTATTTAACTTTAAACTTTAGCCAGACAAATTGCTATCTGGAGAGGAAAGCTAAATGATAAACAGACAGATATATCTAATAAAGACATTAAAGAGAACAATGAGATAAAAATCACACTTAGAACACAACACTAGCTCCAACTGCGACTGTGAAGCAATTATCAAGCTCCTGTTTGTTATTTACTGCATATTTAACACAGAAAGAGCAATCTAGAGTGTGGATAGTATTGCTAGATTGTGTCGCAACCCACACAATTATTTACCTATGTTGTAAAATTCATACAACTCCTTTACATCTTAAGCCCAGAAAATGACTGCGTTTTTTAAATGTTGTTCTCCTACTCTCTGAGTAAATGATAGCACCAGGTTTTGTGTATTAGTTTCTGCCAGCACAAGGAGAAGCGAGGTGAAAATATTTTCAGTGTTCTGTCCAGGCCATTCTCCACCTTTCACGAGCATATGTTGACCGTCAAATTTGGGGAAGCATACTGAACTTGATTTCCTGTAAGCTGCGAAGTGCTCAAACAGCTGCCTCTTCTCCTGGGAGGCTTCCAGAGGAAATGAGACTCCTAGAAATTAATTCCGTAGGATGCACTCAGCCTGGAACTTCCTCCTTCAGTTTTTTAGTTTGTTTCAAATTAATATTTTTGTTGCTACATCAACACCTCCAAATTCAAACTTGAAGAGGCAACAATCTGGGAGTCAATGCATTCCAGCTGTTAGTGGGTATTCAACTGCAAAAAAGATAATGCTTGAAGGCAAATTCTGTAAGAACTTTGCAGGGTTCAAGACAATGAAATTGTAAGAGAGTGCTTTGAAAGAGAAGTGAAAGAGCTGACTCCTCCAAGGGAGTGCCCCACAATCTCCTTAATCAGATGCAGAAGTGCTCTTTCAGTACATATGCCTCAGAAACAGCTGGGATGGATTGACCTTTTGGAAAAAAAAACTCTTAAGAAGATACATGGGAAAAGATTATAATCTTCCAGTTACACAGTCATCAACTCCTGATCAAGTTCAAAAGGAGTTTGTTATGGGAAATGGCCAATGTCAAGGACAGAATTTTTATAAGATGGTTTTCTAATTATTAACATTTAAGTCTGGCAACAAATGGCAGTAGTCCCATTCTACAAGACCACTTTGCCACCCTACTACCCCATTACTGACTTTGTCCAGGCAAGCCCATGTGATATGCCCTTCAGTCTTTCTAATCATTCAGAGCAGGGCACTTGACCAGGATGTATTGCAGCTGCTTTCCAGTCCCCAATGTATCTTTTCTCCCTATGCATACAGATTACGAGGTGAGCAAAAAGCTTATTGTATTCAGAGCCTTGCTACCACACATAGTCAAGAAGCAGCAGAGATGTGCTTCCAGACCAAGGAGTTGAAATCACTCCCAGATCCTGTCATTTAGACCTTGTCATTGTCACTCCCACTCCTATTTTTTGCTCTGTTTGATTCATTCTAAATTGATATGGTAGCTTCTGGAAGAACAAATGTGTCTTTTTTTTTTTCTAGCTTGTTCACTTGCTGTGGGCCAGAGGTGCAGTCAGGTACAGATAATAATAAATTAAGCTGTCTCCCTGAATTGCTGGCTCCCAGACTGCTCAGATGTATGCCAGAGCTTGCGCTGGGACCAGAAACACTAATTCTAGAGCTTTGGAGAGCAGTGATCAGCTCCACGGTGAAACATAAAGGGATCTCTAAGCAAAAACAAGCAGTGATACTAAATCAGGGACATCCTGGCCTGCCTAAAAGCAAAAGAGTTGTAACTGACACCTGGAATAGAAAGAAATGCTGTTCAGCTCTGCGTGGTACAGAGCATCTGGAAACTTTTCTAAAAGAAGAATTAGTCCCCTGAAATTATGAACAATTAAACAGACTAAATAGCCATGTAAATCATTCCCTAAATGAGAGAACTAACCATTACTCCAACGTTTGATTTTCATTCAGTAGAAAGATACTGAACATAACATAAAAGCACACTTTGGGTTTCTTAGGAGGTTACCTCTTTTCGCACTGCTTCTCTTTGGCACAGTGTCTTTCAATATGATTTGTAATTTTTCCAGGCCTGTGTTTTTTATAAAAAGTATAAATATCAGATTTAGTTGCACTATCTTTTCCCTCTTTCATGAAGCGTGAAGTACCTGTGTTTCATCTATGAATGAACTAAATTTTCTCGGAGATGTTGAGGTAAACAGAACATAAATATGAGGTTTGCTTTCACATGCTTTAAAAAGCTGCAGCCCTCAGTTATTTCGTATATCCTGGACTCAATACAGATTTCAAGAAGCACCTTTTGGAACTCTACTATGTATTTTAAGAATCTGACAAAAGTTCAGAACATTAAACCGAATCTGCACCTATTTTTGTAATAGGTATATAAATTAGCTTCCTGACCTAATCTGACTGCTGGAATATGCAAAAATAATAAATCACAGCTAATGTTGATTTTCCATCATAATTAAAAGCTAAAAAGTACACTTCTGGCACAGCTACAATATATTAGTCTTGTTAAAATTTACAGAAGTATATAATAGCCAATGTCATCTGTTAACACTGAAATTCAAACAAAGCAGCTTAAAATACTGTCATTAGAAGAATACAAATGTAAGCTGTTCAAGCTTTTATAGAGGTTTGTTGTGCACTACAAATGCGTCCAGTCTTTTCATCATCACACATGATAAGGAATAGAAAGAGAAGTATACTATACGGAAAAGAGGATGAGAGAAAGGAATAGGGAAATACTGGCCCACCCATGAGTGCCCAAAGTGATGGAGCAGCGGGCCAGCTACACCTTTTGTTTCCTCCTCCCCTATTCTTGCTCAATCCTAACCACAACTTCAGTACTTGACTTATCTTTAAAAATTACATTTATCTGAAGGCTTGCTTTGAGGGCAGCCTGTGAATGAAGCTATGAAATATAAAAGATGTCACATCCCATAGATGGACAAGGGTATACAGATAACACATAGCGTGCACATGTTGGAGCGCACACATACACTATCTGCCCAGCAATTACAGTCCATGGGATTTGTACAAGAAGCCTGAGTCGACTACATCTAGGATGCTCTGGAATAAGGTTTTCGGGCAGGTAGTGAGACACAGAAAACTATGCACTCTGTTCTTTTCACTTACTGTTGTTGAAGAGATTTTAAAGGAAGAGATGACGAGAGGCTGCTAAATTTCCAGTGGAAATCAATAGAGATTTAACACTCAGTTTTTGGGCAATCTCCTGTGAAATCTTCATCAGTTCAGTGTTTTTAAACTCATTATAGCACACAGTTGTCTCCAAGAGTGATATATATCATAAATCTTAAATTCAAAGTGTTTTTTTGAAGTGAACAATTTTCAGGTGACAAAAAAGGGAAGCCCATTTTTTCTACACTCTGAAATCACACTTTAGAGAAGTCGCTACATTTCTTCCATGCAATTGAAAAATTGTTTTAGTTTTGTTTTGTTTTACAGCGCAGTATCACACTCTGTGCAGTCAGGAATGCACAAAAATTGACTTAAACACTGCTGCTCTATCCCACTCTTGGTTCATGGATGAAGGATAATGTCTTAGAGATAAGCTGTGTATGAGCCCTAGCTCTGTACACAATGTACAATTAGAAATAACCAGTATTTATAATTAGTCGAAGAGAACGTAGGAGAAGAAATATCCTGCAAAGCTGAAGACTCCATTTTCTGTTAGTATAAACATGGTTTAAGTCTTTTTACTTAATGTACATGGACAATTTGAACTGGCGGGTTTTGTCATGTCTCTCATACTCCATACTTTTGTTACCTATGAAAACTCTGGTTCAAAACTTATCTTTGGAATTCCAAATGAAGTTTCAGATTTATGAATGCCTGTGCAACCCCAACTTACTGCCTTTCTCAGTCATTTTTTATGCAATTGAACAGCCAAAGATGCTATAGGAAAATTATTACTCTATCAGGTAATTGAACGATATCTAGCAGAGGGAAAAAGAACAACAAGCCAAAACTGCTGAGCAGTGGAAAGCTCTATAGGATACATATGCCAAGGAAGAAAGTTTTCAGACACTTTTCCACAAATAACTCAAAGATTTTACCGTATAATGTACATCTCCAAATCTCAATCTAATCTGTTGACTAGACAATACTTCTGTCTGGTATCTGAAATAATTTAGCACAAAATTCTTACCTGCAAAAACTCTCTCACATTCGAGCCCAAGACACGTAGAATTGTATCATAACCAGATTCTTGACAAAACACAAAAAACATCTTCCCAAACATTTGAAGAATTTCCCCAGCATTTAGATCTAGTTAAAACAGAAAAATGTGATTCAGTCCAAATACCGCATTTCACACACTTTGCTTACTCCTTTAGTCTCATATTCATAAATAAGAAAGACAGTACCTAAACCTTACCCAGATAGCTTAAGAATATGAGAAAAACAAGATTCAGAGTCCACATGGAAATAATGAGTATTCAATACAGGAATTTCATTAGGATTTACCAATTGCCCTTATGACTTCGCCGCATTGTGCATTTCACACACCTATAGCATTTTAGATTTTGATACAGATAAGAAATCACTAGCTGAAAATAAGGAACTCGGTTGTTAGTAGTGCTTGCCTCAGGGGAGTTACTTCTGGTTTACAATAGCATGAAAACACATCAGCTGCTCCAATTCAGCACAACTACTACAGTCATCATAATCTTATGGCTTCTTGGCTAATTACTGATTCAGAACAAATTCATATCACACTTGGGTCTGCAGCTAAAATAATGCTGATGGGCATAATTCTACCTTTTAAATTCCAGACTAGAGCTGCAATGATTGAAAATGAATGCAACTCAAATCAACGGCAGATATGAAATGAGATGTGCCCATGCCACAAAATTTTCTGTAACTC